TGATCATAGGTGTCTTCGAAACATTGCTCGTATATCCTGGGACCATTGACTAAGTAATATAGTTGTTCGGAAACGGGTACTAGGTAAGGATGGCAAACCAATTGATGAAGTGGTGAAACTTCATCAGTTGAGATGGCTGGGACACGTGTTACGTATGCCCAACCACCGACTGCCTCTATGTGCGATGTTCAGTGGTATAGGAGTAGGTTGGAAGAAAGCGAGGGCGGCCAGATCAAAACATGGCACAAATCCTTGAAGTCACTGAGAAGTAGACTGAGTCATGTTGGTAGGTGTAGACTACCTGGTTGGGGACCACGAGATGATAGCAACCGATGGTTAGAGACCTTAAATGACATGGCTCAAAATCGTTTGCAATGGAACAGGTGCATCCACTCTTTGTGTTCTTCCAAATTCTAATCTTCTGAATCCTCCTTGTCTATTTTTTTCTCTTTCCAAATTTATTTAACTGTATTATACTCCTTGAATAACATATTCAAAACCTAATCTTTCCGATTACTGCTTATACTTTTACTACTATGGAGTTTGAATCGTCAATTGTATATGTGTGCTAATGTGGTGTGGCAACTCGAACTGATGTACGTACGTACGAAGTTCTACGTTGATAGTGACTGACCTATAATTGGTATTATTGCTGTAGCCTATCGGTTTCTGATACTCTGGAAGTATCCCTTTTGTGATTTTTATTTATTTATTTGAACACATATATATTGGTACAGGAGTTCGCCGAATATATATGCGCCACACAAAACAATTAGAATCTAGGAAGAAAAAAAAGTGAGGAACGTTAAAATAATAATAATAATAAACAATAACGAAGAGATTGGTGTAAGGTAGTGTAATAATAATAATAGCAATAGTAGTGGAACAGAGGGGTACAATCAGAAGAAATCTTTCAGTTAAGGAAGATACAACCACGTTTTTTAGGAAGAAAGTAAAAGAAGGTTACAATAGGATCGTCACTGGGTTGTATTATGAGCCATGTTTGATAACGTTTCTAGCCACTGCGTAGCACCATCTCTCGAACCCCAGCCAGGGAGTCGTGAAGGACCATTAGGAGCCAGCCCTTTGCAGCTTTCTTTCATACCACGAAAACATATCATACACTGACCACCTCTCTGCTTTTTCCAACCAGTCCCATCGTCGGCAAATAATGCACAACGTGGAATTCTCTGGGACGACATTCGTAGAACATGTCAAAGCCAGCGAAGTCGATGTTTCAAGATGGTGACACCAATTGCATTATCCTCACTGTGCCCGAACACACGATGCCAAACCTCTGCATTACTAACATGGTGTTGCCACTGGATGTCAGCAATGCTTCGGAGACAACGATGACCAAACACAAATAGTCATCTAGCATCCTCAACTCGGAGAGGCCAGGTTTCACAAGCAAAGAGCAAAACTACTCTCACCAACGCGTTGTAGATCCGACCTTTTACAGCCAGACTAACATCACGAAGGCGCCGAAGGTGGCCCAGATTGGCATAAGCCGCTCTGGCTTTCACTATACATGCATTGATCTCATCACTCACACCTCCACCAGCACTTATGCAGCTACCCAGATACACGAACTTCTTGACTACTATCTGCTAACTATCCAGAGTGGGTACATGATTAAGATCCTGCCATTCTTGTAGAAGTACTTTGCACTTCGAAGGTGCAAAGCACATACCGTACCTACGGACACTGATTGTCAACTGATTAAGTGCGGATTGTATGCCTTGGGCATTATCACACAGTAAGACAATATCATCCGCATATTCAAGGTCGAGAGGTCTTTTTCCAGGCAACAGATCCACACCACCATTACTTACATCCATCAGAGCTGTTTCCAGAATGTCGTCGATGGCAAAGTTGCGGAGAAATGGTGAGATTGGGCAACCCTGTCTAACGCCACTGCTCGAATGGAACAATGGAGAGAGGTGGTTGTATCCCTTCACTCTGCCTGAGGTGTTTGTATATAGGGATTTTAGGATGTTAATAAACTTCTCAGGCACACCTTTCTTCAATAGACAATCCCAGAGAACAGTCCTGTCCAACGAATCGAAGGCAGCCCTGATGTCAAGAAATATTACGTTTGTTGGGTGGTGATATGCATGACGGTGTTCTAACATTTGGCGGAGGGTGAAGATATGATCAATACATCCTCGACCAGAACGAAACCCAGCCTGCTCCTCGCGAGTCAATCTTTCTCGGGTTTTGAACAACCTACGAAGTATGAAGGAATCCAATAGCTTGGACGCAATCGGAAGTAGACTTATCCCCCGATAGTTTTTACAGGAACAACATGAGCCGGAGTTAGGTCATCTGGGCCAGGTGATTTGTAGCGTTTCAAGGGTTGGAGTTCCTTTCGGACTTCCGCCTCATGTAGTGGATCAGTCGTCACAGGTCATTGAGGGCAGGACAGTCTGACCGATGTTGCTGGAGCAGCAGGCCAGTCGAGCTGCCCTTCGAGGAATTCTGCCCATCGTCCAAGATGTCGATGGATGTTGGTGATTGGCATCCCGTCACCCTCACAGATTGTTTCGCTCATACCAGACTTCTTGCTGCCAGTGGCTCGGATGAGTTGGAAGAGCTTTCGGTAGTTACCAGATGCAGCTGCTGCTTCCAGCTCATTAGCACGCTCCGACCACCAGGCTTCTCGGTCCTTACGCTAGCTTTGCCCGATTTCATTACGTAACATCCTTCGTTTGTGATCCAACTCACGGTGATCCGGAGTAGACCGACGGGCTTCGACGAGTTGTAAGGAGCCTGAAGAAACCCAGTGCTTAAAAGCGGGACGTTTCGCAAAGCCGCAAGCAACTTTACTCGCCATTTTCATGGTTTCATGCAATTGCAACCAATGTTCATCTATACTTTTCGGTGGAATGGTAGCTAGCCTAGAAGCTAGCTCGGTTCGATACTTACTTGCAACAGAAGTTGCAACCAGCTTGCTAACATCAATCCGTTGGTGGCGGTCACTTCGTTGGCCACTGAAAAGTAAGGTAAGATTGGCGCAGATCAAGGCATGGTCAGAGTCCAGATAGGTACTCCAAAAGGAGCGGCAGTCTTGTACACAACCACGCCAGCGGTAGCTGATCGCGATGTGATCAATCTGAGTCCAGGCTTGAGATGCAGAGGGAAGACTCCAGGTGGCACATAGGCGACGACTGTGTCGAAAGTTAGTGCTAGCCAGAAAGAGGTTGTGGTCTGTGCAAAGTTGCAGTAGACAATCACTTTTATCTGTCCTGCGAGCAACAAGTCCCCATCGGCCACCTAAACGACTCTCTTCTGTGCCTAGACGCACGACTTGCACATTCAAGTCTCCGGCTAGTACTACAATATCTGTAGAACGCACTCTCTGGAGAAGAACAGATAACTGGTGGTAGAATTCATTCTTGGTTGCATCCGGGCTGCAATCTGTCGGGGCATAGGCGGAGATGACGAGAAGACATCGTTTCTCATGCCGATTTCTTCTCACTTTGATGTAACTCTCTAATCTAACAGCACATAACCGACGGTTCATGGGGATTCAGTCGATTAGTGCTGCCTCAGTTCTAGCACTTAGTGCGACACGAACGCCAGGAAGACCAGACGAAGATGCCACAGAGTCCTCGGATAAGCGCACGTCAAACAAGCTTTTTGAAGCGACGGATGGAGAGCGAATTTGTAGTACTTCACCAGAGTCTTGAATACTGGTGTCGGATAGACAACAAACGTCGATATTAAGACTTTCTAAAGACATAGCCAGCCCTATCTATTGTCCGATCTGCATTAGTATGCGAACATTGAAGGCAGCCAGTTTGAATGGTGCACGTGGTTTCAGAAAAACTGCTTCAGTATTCGTATTTGGTGGTTGCACTCAATTTTCAACCGGACAGTGACTCGAGAACGTTTGGATAGAAACGAGTTTCCACCACAGGCGAGCTACTCTATAAGTCGAAAAATGAGGATACATAAAGTGGGAATAAAAGAGAGTGAATAAGTGACGTAGTAAATAATAATAATAATAATAATAATAATAATAATAATAATAATAATAATAATAATAATAGAATCATTTGAATGTTCGTCGAAGCAAGAGAATTAGTTTCCATGATCATAGACAGTTCAGTTCATTAATTGTGTGTGGGCTGTTTTACTGGCCGGGAGCCCAAACCGAAGCAGGTGGTTATCTTTTGTGATGATCCACCATATATACCAAAAACTTGCTAAGTATACTTAATGAAATGTTAGTTACTCAGTCTTCTATGACACTCGTATTGAATTAACGTTTTCTGACAACTTTTTCGTCTATTCCTACGATTCTTCCAAAAGACTGATTCAAGCTTGTCATGTTCATTGCACATATATCTTGACATTACTCATACCATTTTGAGATGATAGAGTAGATTTGTAGCTCAGGTAGATGATTTTGATGGATTTTTGTTCTCTGAGGTGTGTGCTGATTATGTCGTTCGGAAAAACGATGAAAGCTCCATGACCAAACCATCCAGATCAGAGAAAAAAATCCAACAAAAAGTACTCATACCATCAAACTTCTAAACCTCATAATATGTGCAAAGGTTGCAGCCAGTGTTACTAGCGTTCTTATTATTCCGTTTGCAAACATTGTCACAAACTTTCCATGTCAATCGGGACCGAGTGAAAAAAGGTTCCCGTTCTAGTAGATTTTTCCCCAAATGTATATTACATCGAAATACAACATTGTCACAATGTTCAGCAGTCAGTCACCGCAATCATAAATAAATGAGGTTCTCAGTAATCCCATCCATTGAGATCGCTCACTTATAACTTCCTACTTAAAATCCGACGTCAACCGATCTACATATGCATTAGGTATTAAAATACGCACTGTGACCTTGAAATCGTTCACTTGATTCTATAACACATTGCTTTAACTTTGATAGCTTCAACATGTAATACAACCTATTCAATTTGATCTATTCGATACATTGGATCCAGATTTTTAAAAAAAGTTCACAAACTAAGGATATATTTTATTGATTAGTTAATTTATGTTCATGTATGTACATGTAACCCTTTAGCAGTATTATAGAAAATTGCTGTTATAATAGTCTAATGATATCCAACAGATATGAATACTCGCCGGTAAACACTCACACGCACAATTTACACCTAGTGTAGTTTCAAAGTGAATATAAATCATTCAATAAATGTTAAAGAATAATAATAATAATCATTATTACTGAAATAAACAAATTCTGTTTGTTTGTTTGTTCCGTTGAGAAAGAAAACAACAACAACAAAAGACCATCTAACAAGGGATAGAAATAAGTTAATGACAATGTTGATCAAACATTTTCAAGTCAGAACTGTAATACAAAATAAAGAAAGAGAAGTAAGAAGATTAAAAAGAAGAAGCATAAAAATGAAGTAAACTATAAGATGTTTACTAAATGACTCCAATATAGAATAAATCATAAAAGCCTAATTGTAAATGTGATATATACATAAATACTAATGTCTTTCACACTATATCCCTTTATATGTATCGAATCAATTATTTAATAATTAAACTAAGATATAAATACAAAATTAGTCAATATATTGTCTGTTTGTATCTATGTATATAAATATTTGTTTCCAAGCCTGTACACACATATATATGTGTGTGTGTGTTAGTTATAATTAATGTACGTGTGTATACTTATATTCTTTAGTGTTGATACCTTCAACTAACAATAATGTGAGTAAGAGAAGTGAGACAGAAAGTTTATGTTTATCTATCTATCTATCTACATATATATATATATATATATATACACTTATGGGTATAGGACAGAGTTTGATGAAGAATACTAGTGACCGACCGCCTATGCTCCTCCATGAGAGGTAACAGGCATAAGTAAGTAAGTAAGTATGCATATATTTGTAATATTTAACATGGGAATAATAAATAGTTATTCATAAATACATATACATACAAGACATGATTATATATTTAGAAACATTGATATATATATATGACTATTTTATTCTACTCCATTTCTCTACTCAGATTTACAAATATATACTGGAAATAAACAATAAATTGAAGTATTTAGTTTAAAATAATAAAGAAAAGGAAGGAGGGAAAAGACAAAGAGATGTCAGTATAAGGATAGATAGATAGATATATGGTAGATAAAGAAGTTGTTTGTTTGTTCTTATTTTCAATTAATTATTCCGAATTGTTGCTATTACAAAAGAAAGAACATTAAATACAAAAATCAATATATTGGGAAATAAATCATATTTCCTTGAATTGAATTATATTGTACAACTTGTATAAAACTTGGCACAAGAATATAGTTTTATTCTTTTATTTTGTTGGTGTTGGTGTTGTTGTTGTTGTTTACAAGTAGTAGTGATCAAAACTACATATTACAAGAGAAATGTGAATACATGTCAAGGTCAAAGAAGAAGAAGTGTGTGTATACGTGCGAGATATATATATAAAGGAGTAAACGGAAAGAGATATGTAACAGGTTGTTTTGTGAATTTATCCCTCACTTTGTTTTGTTTTGTTTTTTAATGTTGGGATATGAATGAGACAAAACGAAAGACAAACAAACCATAGATATACACATAAACATAGATATATATAAATATACCAACAAATAAAAAGAAGACCTAATCAACAATTCATAATAATCAATTGTGATGATACATTCTTTTAGTGTCTATTTATTATTCACAGTATAGGTTATTTTTAATAGTCCATTTAACTTCATTATCATGATCAATATTAGTGTTTTGTTTCTAATTGTCAGGTTGATCGATTGTCCAGAGTAGTAGTTGTAGTCGTAGTAGTAGTACTAATCATGGTAATAGTAGTACAGATTTTAGATAAATGGTTCACATGTAATAGTAATTGAGTTATTATTTCTGTTTGTTTGTTTTGTAATCAAACTAAGATGAATTCACAGAAAGAAAACAAACGACATTTAGTGTACACAATGAACATTCACAATTATTAGTCATTGAATTTATAGTTGTTTAAATAAATAAATAATTAAGTATGTATAATGTGTGTGTGTTTTTTTAAAAAATACAGATCACTAACTAATGAAAGACAAGTAAATTAATGGAACAAAAAGAAAGGAAAAAGGAAAGAAATAACAATCAATAGAAATATTGACTGAAGGGAATTTTATTGTCACGGTTATATACTATTCCCAAAAGTTGACGTTACCGTAGATGATGAGGATGATAATTGTGTTGCACCTGGATTTGTATACTGCATCAAGTAGGCTAGTGTAGAAAAGGTTGAAGAATATGGAAAATAAAATTAATACATTGACTGGTAATGAACAAATTAACTTATATGATGAACAGTTGAAAAAAACAACTTAGGAAGTAACACAGGGTAGTTGTTAAGTATGAGACTTCAGAGACAGTAATATTCTCACAATTCCTTATGGGAATAAACTCAAAGATATTAAAGTAAGAATGATATCTTAAGACGTTTCAAACTAAGTTAAACCCCGAATGCCCTGGTACGGCCGAGAGTGGGGTGAGTCCGCTCTCCCTCTCGAAATACTCTCACACGGCCGCGCGTATACATCCTCTGTCAGGGAAGTCCTACTCACTGCCTTCTCGTGGCGGGGGTGTTGTGTACGAAAATGAGAGGACGAAAAGCGAATGTTTGGCGCTTTAACCGGATCACAAACCAATGGTGCACATGGGCTCCAGTATCCTGCGAGAACAAATGGCGTATGAACCAATCGTTGGTCTCCGGCTACCATGGGATTGCATCTCCTTACGATGCTCCACTGCCTTGTGGGTTAGACCCTTAGGTCAAAGGCTCGGGGAGTGGCCCCCTAAGATAACCACCTGCTTCGGTTTGGGCACTCGGGCAGTATCACAGCCCACACATAAACGATGAACTCTCTATGTCTATGGAAGTTAAACCAGTTGTCCAATGTTGATCGTAATCGACAAGGATTCATATTGACCACTTTAATAAATGTGAAGTATTCAGTAAGTTAGCAAACATAATACAATTAAGTAATTTTACAAATATTTCTAAACTAAAATTCTGATTAGATATTACACTGAGACCCCAGTAACAAAACTAAACTTTATGTATTTTTCAACCTTATTAATCAACCAGTGTTACAATCTTCATATAACTTCATAATTCTACTTCAATGAATAAGAATTTTAATTGATCAGTGGAGTTAATCTGTGTCGGGTAGAGACAGGTATCTACCTCAGTACAATGAAAGATGGTCGCTCAATTTTCTGGATTGGTTGAGGTTAGATATTAACACTGTTGAATGCCGACCGGCTCAATGGTCTACAAGTTGGGCATTCACGCGTGAAACCGAAGGCTCTGAGTTTAAATCCCATGAGCGGGGTCGTGGATGTGCACTGCTGAGGAGTCCGGCAATAGGACGGAATGGCCGTCCAGTGCTACCAGCTTTTCGATAATCGTCTAGCATGAATCGGTTCATGATCTCGATCAAAAACTTAATAATCTCCACAACGTCATACTGATCTCAATTGATATGGCTGATAATCAGTTTAAAATAGCGCACAACATTTACACATTCCTTATCTTTTTCCTAAATGTTATCTGTGACAGCCTAATCAATTATTTTTCAGCCAACTATATAACTATTGATAAAAAATCTTCCCATTCTGTATCTATTTTAACTGACAATAAATATAACAAAGGTAATTGTTACATCTAAAACGTGGTTGAAAAAAATTACGGTTCAAAATGATTGACAGTTAATCATCACAGAAAAGCCTATTTATGAATCTCATGGACCGATTTAAGTTAGACCACTAGTGAGTACTTGGAAGCAACAAGACCCCTCAGAAGTACCCATCCACGATCCCACATGTAAAACTCGAACCCAGGAACTTCGGTCTCGCGCGCCAACCTCTAGACCACTGAGTCTGTATCCAATAATATTAGTGTCTAACCTCAATCAGTCCATAACATTGTGTTCAATTAGTAACTGTTTCACATCCGATATAGATTGGCTTCCCCTGTTCACGGTTTCTCACTATAAATTCTGAAATTTCCACTCGAAGCTAGTCACTGCTGAGCCTCATACTATGACAAAACAGTTGTCCATTGCTTTCAGGTTTTCAGTGGTGGTTATTTCAATGAAATTAAACAATTTCCACAACCCTATACTGACTATTTATGGATAGCTTTTTTTCCTAAGATTCACCACCTATTTCGTATTTCGAATAAAGTGGATACTGTTTTTCTTTCATCACTAGGCTCCTACAAGCAATATTTGCAACTACCGAATTGGCTCAAATTAAAAGTCAATGACTTCATAGACTGATATTATATCTTGGTTTGGTCACCCTTTGGTTACTTTTCTAACTTGCTTCACAATGCCACCTAACATAGGTGATTAGGACTTATGTTAAACACATCATAAATACTGGTACCGGACACGTTCAAACTTCAACATAACTCTATCAATTATGCTATTCTATTCTATACTTACCTGCAGATAATTTCAATGGATCTAATCTTTCCGGATTTAAAGTTAGATTACCGCTGTTATTATTATTACTACTATTAAATGATTGAAAATTTTGTACATTTGAAAGATTAGTCCCATAATTTTGAAAGAATTGTGGATTAAAAAATCGATTATTCATTGTACCATCCAATATTCCTGAATTTGATGAAAGTGACATATTTGAAGAGGATAAATTATTTGCTTTACTTATAGAATTACCATTACTATTCATATTACTAGTACTAGTAGGATTAGTAGTATTGTTCATTAAAGAATTCTGATTAAAATATGATTTAAAAGCTTCCGGTATGCAGGAATATGATGAGGCATTTGATGCTAGCGTACTTAGCGCAGCAACTAAAAAGTCTGGTATACCATAATACATACTATTAGTACTATTAGTAGTAGTATTAAGATCTACACTCTGATTTGAAGTAGTATTTAAACTTATACCAAGTGGATGATGATTAGACGGAATATATTGTTTTGAATCATTGAATGGTTGCAATGTTGTGGACATTTCATGCATGGATAATGACGGTGTAGACGAACATGGCATAGTGTTTATGGGACTGTTATTAACAATGCTGCCCGAAGAAGTAAGTGTTGGCATATTCGGATATGTGGGCAGATATAATGAAGACGGTAAACCATTAGTTAATGAATTCATAGTAGATTTCAATTCATCATCTTTACTATTATTATTATTAAACGACAATGGCATAGACTGTGAGTACGTAGACGAATTCGGCAGTTGAAGATTCCATGCATTTTGGAAAAGTAACGATGGGATCATATTATTATTATTATTAGACAGTGATGTATTAAATTCTTGCTGGTTAACTGTTAGATTCTTCGATTTCGACATTGTATTCATAGTCGTAGTAGCGGTAGTATTTGATAAAGCATGACACATTGTTAAATTCATCATATAATCATTGTTCAATTCACTTTTTATTGACTGTTGCTCTAAACTACCACAATGATAAGTACCACCACTGTAACGAGAATAATTCATCACTGTAGAATTATTATTATTATTAATATCAGTTTTTATATTTTGATAAGATAATTTATTTGATTGTTGTCCCCCTTTATGTTTACTACTAAAATCACGTGGAGTAGCTGATGATGATGATGACGATGATGTTGGAGTTGTTCGCTTAGAGTAGTGAAATGAATTACTATTGTTAGTTTGATGATTTTGTTGTTGTCCATAATGATGTTGATGTTGATTAGATCGAGAATTTGAATTGCCAGTAATGTCTAATGAACCATGAGGCACTGATACTGTATGCGCTGTTACCGTACGTACATTATTACTATTATAATTATTCAATGAAGTGATATCAATAACTGGACTATTATTATTAGATGACATGGATGTAGATAAACGTTTCTTATTGCTAGAATGCTTATTTATTTCATTATTCCGTTGTTTATTAACTGAATGCATTACATTATTCATACTATTATTATCATTATTCGTATTCATCATTACATTTATATAATCATTTGATATATTGGTATCAAATAATTTCTGTTCATTTTTATGATACAATTTATAATTAGGATGATGAGTAGGCATGTTATTTTGTTGTGCATGTATAGACATTGTATCTCGATTATATTCAGATGTTAATTGTGATACTGGACAACTTTGCAATTGTGGATCATATGGATTGGATTCTTGCTTTAACTGCTGCTGCAACGACGATGACGATGATGATGATGGCAATAGTGGTTCACCAAATGAATTCAATAGACCTGGAGTTGTTATTCCTGTTGGTAATGGGGATGAACTGGAAGGCTGACACGGTGAAATAGTTGGTGGACACTTCAAATGTGTTGAACTACAATTCCCTGCATTGTTATTATTCTTATTATCATTAGTACTGGTAGTAGTAGTAGTTGTTGTTGTTGTTGTAATAGAGCTGGCATTAGTGGAATCTCGTTTCTTTAAATCAATACTAGAAGGACGTTTCTTATGAGAATCTAATAAATTACAGTGTGATGTATGATTCAAATGGAAACGCAAAGCTAGAACATGTGAGAAACGTTTTTTACAACCATCAATTGGACAACCAATTGGAAATGTTTCATGTAATTCATCATTTTCTTCAAAACACACATGATCACCACTACTATTATTATCAGTGTTATTTGTATTCACATTATTATTATTTGTACATAATGGAGTATGTGGTCGAGAATGATCAGGATTTTGTGGATCACAAAGCATTCCATCAGTTTTACCGGTGAAATCTCCAATTTCAGATAATTTCTCAAGATCCGGTAGAACTTCCGACGGACAATCGCTTGATGATGTACTACTACCTCGAAAAAGTTTACGACTTTTATTATGTAACTTAATTTTTCTATTATTACTATTTCGTGTTAGTTGTTCTTCATCAGATACATGAGGAAGACATTGAGTTAAATCAGTATCCTCTTGAATAGCATTATCATTGATTAATTCTTTATCAGTATCGATTTTTGTTAGATTATGTGTATTGCAACGATTCGTTGTTGAAATAGTCTCAATACCATTACTATTATTGACTGCAGGTGAATTTGAAGCTCGACCACGTAATCGATGTCTTCCAGTTGAAGTAGATTTCCAATTACAATCATTCGTTGTAAGATGATTAGTTAAATTTGACTTATAATTTGTTCCAACTCCAGTTCGACGTTTTGTACGATTACTAGATCGTATTGATGATTTAAATGGAGGTACATAATCTCGTGGACTATAAAATAAATATTATGAAAAAATACATGAGTAAATATAAATATCAGTAGTCATATAACCTAAATATTCAATTGTTCATAGGTTGGAAGGGAATTTCTTCATGGATATGAATAAGGAACTTATTTTTCAAGAATAAACACGTAGATTACATTGACCAATTATTATTCACTTGTCAGTAACAGTAATTATAATGAAATTCAATTCTTAAAAATGAAACGGTTCTAATAAAAACTACTTATATTTGTCACAGTACAATTCGAACTCTTACACACAACTGGTTGAAATTAGACATTAACACCGTTGGATGCCGGCTGGCCGGCTCAGTGGTTTAGAGGTTAAGCGTTCGCGCACAAGACTGATAGGTCGTGGGTTCGAATCTCGCGGAGACGGGATCGTGGATGCGCACTGCTGAAGAGTCCCACGCTAGGACAAGACGGCCATCTAATGCTTGCAGGTTTTCCATAGTGGCCTAGCTTCAATTAACTCATGATTTCAACTACTGAAATTAAATAGGACTTAGAAGAATAATTATAAGTTACTTGTATACCGATGACACATAGGTTTTATCCCATATGTCCCATAGCATACATATATGTATATCCATCTACTTGGGAGTGTAGATTTTCACCACTCCCTTTTCTAATTGATCTATTAAACTGATTAATTATGGATAGTTCTGTTGAGATGACAATCATCTAGATTCGTGTATTTATTGAACACATTTGTCTCTCATTAATTCACTCCTATTAACTAGAATGCCCCCAAATGCTCTGGTATGGCCGAGAGTGGGAAAAGTCCGCTCTCCCTCTCTAAATGCTCTCACATGGCCACGCGTATATAGCCTCTGTCAGGGAAGTCCTACTCACTGACTTCTCGCGCCACGAGTGTTGTTTACGAAAATGAGAGGACGAAAAGCGAATGTCTGGCGCTTTAACCGGATTCCAAACCAATGGTGCACATGGGCTCCAGTATCCTGAGGGAACAAATGGCGTATGAACCAATTGTTGGTCACCGGCTACCATGGGACTGCACCTCCTCACGATGCTCCACTGCCTTGTGGACCAGACCTTCAGGTCGAAGGCTCGGGGTGTGGCCCCCTGAGAAAACCACCTGCTTCGGTCTGAGCACCCGAGCAGTATCACAGCCCTCACACATGTCGAATCAGATTTGTGTGGCGCATGTGTATTTGGTGCCTCCTTGTACCAATATCTATGTGTTAAAATAAATAATAAACTAGGATAGTTTTTTTTGTACAATACACTGTACACAGATGGGGACAATCAAGTGTATTTCAATACAACATAGCCGAATATGTTGGTAAATTTGAGAACTATATAGTAATACGTCATCTGCAAAATATTCATCAGTTGTCTCAGACTTTGTTGCTTCTTCGTTCCCATATCAATCACTCTCTGTACTCGTTCTCTTCAATTTTTTTAACCTTCTGCTGTTAGGCATTTCACTTTCGATTGATGATACATACTACTCATATCTGTTGACATCAGTAGTACATACAACATTACTACTACCTCTACTGATATTTTAACTGATATTAATTTTTCTATGGAATCTAATCTTTCTTTTTTGGATTAGATTATTAATTTTCTAGAACTGACAAAATTGTCATGTCAAACTAATTAGTAATAAAGAATAATCAATATTAACTTACCATGGTGGAGCGAAATCATGTTGTGTTGCATCTAACAAAGTACCAATATACGTTCGACCTCTCCATGTCACATTGACAACTAATACTCCTTTGGAAAAAAAAGAAACATGAAGATGAAGTAGGGAGAAAAAAATTAAAAATAATCTTTTTTCGGAAAGGGGAATTTTTTAAACAATGACTAAGTGACACACCTACAAGAAGTAAAAAAAACACAATTATGGTCAGTATGGGGTTATGGAGATGGTTGAATTTTACTGAAATCATGTGAAACTCGAACCCAGGAACTTCGGTCTCGCGCGCCAACCTTCAGACCCGGATAGCTGAGTGGAAACGTCTCTGACTGTGAGACTGGGTGACTCGGGATCAAATGCGTCAAGTACACCTTGCTGACGAGTGCCAAATAACACGAAACCCGGCTCCAGAGTTTCCTCTTGACTACCTCCAATTACCATCTTATCTCAAAAACTTTTAGTCCTAAACGTAATTCTTTTTAGATCATTGAGTAGTAAATTATATCAACTTCGTTTTGATAAGCTAAAATTGACTTTGCGTCCATTTTAAATATTGTTAAAAGTAATTAGTTAAGTATACTTTCAGCTACAAATTATCTATGGAGTACAAGTTTTCGTATGCAGATTTAAGCCTTATCTATTTTTGTGTGACAGTGAGATCACCAAATTCGCCTGATGAAATTAGGTGGAACGGGTTTCGAACCTGTGACTTACTGATTAAAAACTGAATTATATAGTTACCAAGTCACGAATCCATATTGAGATGTACTGAATATGCATAATTGACCAACATTGTCATTTTATAAAATACCAATTTAATTACAATTAAAAAGGGAAGTAAAATGAAATCTACAAACGAGTTGATATCGTAATCGACTTTTATCATTTCAACAATAATAACTGCTAGCATCCTCCAATGGAAACTTCAAATCTAAAGAGAACATGGTTTGATATATCAGTGTTACTGGAAATGGATCATAGAAAGATGAATATTCAATTAGGTAAATGACTGAAATTAATTTCTTTTGGCATACGTGGATTCTGTGCGGACTGCCTGGATATTGCCATTAAGTTACACCTCTCCTTTTAATGACGCTAAATAGAAATCAGTAGTGGAATTCAGGATGACTGATCCATCTTATTTCAGGATTCATCATATGGGTGTTCTCATATTTCACCTTTCCCTTCAAACGCCTATCAGTTTATCCATTGAGCTAATGAGTCCATATAACCACTAACGACATGTGCATAGAACTTACTTATGCTTGTTACCCTTCGTGGAGGAGCATAGGCCGCCCACCAGCCTTTTCCATCCATAGAATTAACATGTCTTAAATAAGATGAAATGCTCTATCTGTTAGTCACTATTCAACATTAGTAAGACGAAATCTAACTAGTGGAGCTAATCTGTGCCAGGTTGAGATAGGTATCAACCCCAGACAATGAAAGATGGTCGCACAATTTCGTGAATTGGTTAAAGTTAGACATTAACACTTAGATACCGTCTCGGTGGCCTAGACTTTAAGCATTTGTGCTCGAGACTGAAGATCCTGAATTCGAATCTAGCGAGTAGGGTCGTGTACACACACTGCTGAGGAGTCCCATACCAGTCTAACATCAATCGATTTATCATCTCAATCAAAAGACAAAACACTTCACAATAATGAGAGTTCATTACAACACAATAACATTAAACATTAAAATAATTCAGTTGTTTTATCAATTATGGTTTTATATATCGACTACTTCATTTATGTATATTTATTAATAACATGTAAGTAAAAATAGTTTAGATATAAATATACACTACAAACACAATACTTAAACACAATGTACCCACCCATATAAGACAAGTGCACATACATAAATCAAAGATACCGTGATTTGTATGTGTGTCTATAGCTAGAATGTATATGCATGACACACACACACACACGAGAGAGAGAGAGAGGGAAAGAATTCTCTCACATATTTACAATATTCAACCAAATTGTTATCAGATGTATATACTGGCTTTTCTTCGTCTTACATTCATCCAACCACACATATACACACATGTATGCACATACATAGGATCGTGCACACACACACACAAAACCGTTACAGACCAATGATTTCCGTTTTGCATTGAAATCATGTTAAAAATAAATAAATTCTGTTTTTCATTTGTTTGTTTGTTGTCACATAGTCAATGTGAAACTACTTTGTATGTTTAAAAATAAAATAAAACAAAGAACAAAGAAAAGAAGAAAAAAATGGAAGTTAAAAGTAAATAATCAACTTTGTTTTTGATTTTCTTTTCTTCTTTTTAGAAGAAAAAAAAAACCAGAAGGAATTTCTAGTTTATACCATTTCATGAAATATTTAGGAGACAATTATTATGATTATTGTAGTTAAGACGAATTGAATTTTCCATGAGTCAATTGAAGTTAGATCAACATGGAAAATCTAGAAGTACTAGATGGACCACTGATCCTATTATACAACTACTAAGTAGTGTTCATCATCCATGATCCTATCTCGTGAGATTCGAACCCAGCACCTATCAAACTCTAGACACCACTGAGCTAGTTGGCATCCAACAGTGTTAATGTCTAACTTCAACTAATCTACGGAATTCAGCGATGTATATCCATTACAGACTCGGTTTAATTTCACTGGTCAGTGTTTTTCACAACAACTTCAGGAGCATATGTTGATTAATATTAGAAGGGGTTTTGTATTTGTTCTATTATATAACTAAGATTAAAAATGTATAGTTTAATCACATGTCAACTTAGCTGATTTATATTGTTGTGACGTTTACTTAAACACTGGAAGATTAGGATTCAATATATAATGTGGTCATTAGTATTCCTAACAGTTAATTAGCTTGTTAATCTTTTCCCTTTAAATTAGAAATCAATTTGTGAATCTGAAGAAAATCGAAAGAGCCGGGAAGCAATAAGATGGTATCAAAATGAACTGACCCTCTTATTTGCTTTAGGTTAATTTACTGTAACATTTTTTTACTTGACGAAAAATAATGAATAAGTCGTAAAATGTTCAGTATTTCGCACAACCAGCTGGTTATCAGGACTCAGTAGCCAAGTGAATAATGAGATGGCGTTTAAAGCGAACGGTACTGACTTCGAGTCCTGGAGTCAATACCAACTGTGATGTAGGCACATCCAGTTGACGAGTTCCGAATGGGACGAAACGCGCATCCTGGATTCCACTGTTAGCCACTATCCATCTTTGCTTAAAAAGAGGCATATTTTGTGTCTGACACAATGTATGCATATATGCGTATCTATGCCTTGGAATTTTACATAAATGTGAAAATTAAAGGCTTTTCCAACTTCTAGCATAGATTTTTTTTAGGTGGAATTCATATAATGAGTTCTCATCTATTATGTAAACTTAAGACGGAATGACTCTACTGAGGAAGTTCTCACAGAAAGCACGTATACCAAATGACAATGATCAGTTATAACTCATCACATTAACAATAGGAAGATACAAACATTTAAAATTAAAATTTATACCCGTTAAACAGGTCAGGGATTATCTGAACCGAGTAGCTTAGTGGATCACTTGATGGGTATCTACACCTTACTGACTAATTCGAAATAAGACTTCATTGTTAACCAGTATTCTAACTGTAATCATAAAACCTTTTCTGTCTATGTGTATATGTTTGTTTATCCATTGATATACATATATATATATTTGTGATAAACCAGCTGGTGGTAATTTGTTGTTCATTCACAGCTTGAAGAAGAAAACCATAAATAAGATGGATACCATAAGTTATCATCTATATTTTCAATAGGTAACATACATATTCATTATTTATGCATAAGTAAGTGACGTACAGATATATGTGGTGTGTGTATATGTGCGTATGTATGTGCTTGAAGCATAACTGAAAACATGGTATGTGTGTGTGTGTGTATTTAATGAACATTATCTTCTTGGCTATTATCATTGTCATATTATAATTCAGTGTTTTTCGAGGTCAATGAATGTTTTGTCTAAAATACACAAGTGTTAATCTAATTTTTAAATGAAAATATTATTTCTATGTTAAAAACTTATGAAATAGACGGTTGAATAATGAAAATAATTTTAGTGGAGTTTTGTTCTCTGAGCTGGATGGTTTGGTCGTGGAGCTTTCATCGTTCTTCTGAACGACATCATCAGCCCAAACTTCTGATTGGTTCAATAAGAACCAATCAATGTCGAGGTGTACAGAACAAGCTGTGAAACGCATATGAATAAATTCGAACACTTCACTTCTATCTGAAGGTTGTGCTGATGATGTCGTTCAGAAGAACGATGAAAGCTCCACGACCAAACCATTCAGCTCAGAGAACAAAACTCCATCAAAATCATCCACCTGAGCTACAAATCTTCTCCACCATCTCAAAATGAAAATAATGAAAATAGTTGAATTCATGAATCGATCTAAGATAACCTAGAAGTAGTAGATGATTATTTCGTTATAGTATGGGATTTCTTAGTAGTATACATCCATGATTCCACATATAGGACTTCAACTCAAGATATTCGATCTCGCGCGTGAATGCTTAAACTTTAGACTATTGAACCAGCATATGCAGAGGAGGCGAGGATTGGCAAAACAAGGCCCACATTCCTACAATTCAAGAACATATGGAAATCAAAACAACTTTCAACTAATATGAAAGTGAGAATCTTCAATACGAACGTTAAGGCAGTTCTACTGTACGGAGCTGAAACTTGGAGAACTACTACAATTATCATCAAGAAGGTGCAAGTATTTATAAATAGTTGTCTACGCAAGATACTCAACATCCATTGGCCGGATACCATCAGCAACAGCCTTTTGTGGGAGAGAACAAACCAGCTTCCAGTTGAAGAGGAAATTAGGAAAAGACGATGGGAATGGATAGGACATACATTTAGGAAATCACCAAATTGCATCACGAGTCAATCCGTAACTTGGAATTCGGAAGGGAAGTGGAAAAGAGGAAGGCCAAAGAATACATTACGTCGGTAAATAGAAGCATATATGAAAAGGATGAATAACAACTGGAAGGAGCTGGAAAGGATTGTCCAGGACAGGGTTGAATGGAGAATGCTGGTAAGCAGCCTACGCTCCTTCACGAGGAGTGACAGGCGTAATTAAGTAAGTAAGTAATTGAACCAGCGTCGAACAGTGTTAATGTCTAACTTCAATCGACCCATGATCTTGTGCAACCATTCATCCATTATCTGAGATAGATACCTGTGTTTACCCGACACGGATCGGACTCCACTGGCCACAGATTCTCATTAGAACTTCAGGAAATCTGTCTTGACTAAAATTTTGGTTTATAATGTAAATTATTCTGTTTCTAGGTCACCTACTACTATTACTACTGAATACTTTCTAAAATCATGAAGATTATCTACTAATCAAGTGTCTTAATTATCATACTTTCGTTCGGGTGTTATGGCTTAAACGGCATGGATGATAACAATTAAGTTGTTTGATTCAAAACTGTGACGACGGACAGCTATATAACGTTTTTCATTCTATTATTTTGAACCACGTTCTCATTATAATTGCTACTACATTATTTCGATTCGTTTGCTAGTCATCGTGCTAATTTGAAATGATAACACAAACTAACACAAATTTATGTCAAACTCCATGTTGATTATTTGGGGATGATTGGAAGAAAGTTAGGGACGTGGTATCAGTGCTTGAAGACACTAACTTCTAGTCTGAGCCATGTTGCTAGATGTAGAGTACTTGGTTGGGGTCCGCGTCACTATCGTAATCAATGGCTGGAGACTTGGTGACATGGCTCAGAATCGATCACAATGGCGTAGATGTATACACTCTGTATCTTCCCTTAAACTAAGAGATTAAATTCACTTCATATCTTTCTTTCTACGAACTAATTCTTTCTTCTTGTACTATGTCCTTATATGCAATCTTTCTCTTATATATTACCACCTCTGAATTAACTGCTTCCATGAATCCGGTGTCCATCTTGTTGTGTTAATGAGGTATGGCAACTTGGACCGATGCATATATGTGCCTGGTCCTACGTTGTAGCTGACTGACTGACTACGTTAATTATAACAGACTAATTGAATATTTGTGACTAAGACATATTAGATAGCATCGATTCGAATTCTATAGGGAGTATTGGTCTCCAAGACACTAGAGATACACCAGGTTGGTGACATCTAGTATGAAACCAATATTATCCTAGGTACTTCATCTTTTTTGTACCTGTAAAACTTTCAAAATTAAACATCGAAAAAAAAGAAACAATTTATGGTTTCAGTTTAGGTCTATTTGATTTTTGATTTTGCGTCATTTTCATATTCAATATGAAACGTAACGTTAATTGACTGTCTACTACTATTACTAGTACCACTATTACCAATGGTGTATATCCATCCTTCTTTCTTTCTCTTTCTCTCTCTCTCTCTCTCTGTCGCTCTTTCACAATCACTCGACCTATCTGAGCAATATTGTACATACATAGATGCGTACACATACATACACACATACATACCTTTTTATGGATGATAAACACCCTAAATCAGCTGATTATTTTTAAACATGGTTATAATGCAAAACAAGGCGACTGATTAGAACAATAAAGAAGAAATCAATAAAATAAAGAAAACAAAAACTAAATTCATATAAATGGCAAAATGATTTAAAACAAAGTTACGAATGAAAAATATTTTATCGTTTCTTTACAAAGAAAAAAAAATTCATTTCAAATAAAGGAAAGTTGATATGTATGTATGTATCTATGTGTGTAGGATGTTCCTTTCAAGGATTTACATACATACTTATCACTATGTGTTTGTACTTTGTTGATACATGTGAGAGTGGGGGTATACGATAATATTAATACTAATAACGATACTACTACTACTACTACTCCCTTCTGATAATAATCATCGTATGCTCACTAGTGACTGGCTTCAAGAGGTATTTTCTGGAGTTCTAGTGAGAAGCCGTGACCTGTGGAGTTCAAGTAGGTCTGTTGTGAGATATTAACTCACTGAAGACAATGGTGGATGTGTCACTGAATTTCGTGGATTAGTTGAATTTAGACATTAACATGGTTGGATGCTGACCGGTTAAGCATTCGCTCGCGCATGAGACTGATAGGTGTTGCGTTCGAATCTCGCGAGGTGGGATCGTGGATACGCACTACTGAGGAGTGTTATATTAAGACGAAATAGTCATCCAGTGCTTTCATGTTTTCCATGGTGATCTAGGTTTAATCGACTCATGAATTTAACTATTCAATTACAAAAATATCCACAAAACCCCCTTCTGATAAAAGTTAAAAACCAGAGTAAAACATAATAAACTACAATGAATCGGGAGAAAAATGGTAGAACAACCCTTTTTTTATAAAAAAAAATGATTCTCCTGAAGTGATTCTCTCACATTTTCTCTCTCTGTGACCAACTATCAATTGATATATGATTTTAATTATTCATGTGGCTTGTTTAAAAAAAGGGATGATTTAAAAGTTCAGTTTAATGATTATGCATAGATTTTTTTGATTGTAAGAGTTGTAGAAGTATGATGATTTTTTCAGATGAAGGAGGATGATACCCCAGGTCATTCAGACATAGACCAAACGATAAATAAGTCATGCTGATGGTTGTATACTATTAGTTAAGACTTGACTTGACTCTCTGAGGAAAAAGACATGTTGGTTAAAAATGTTTCTTTATCTTCCGAGGGATATATATATATATATATATATATATATATATATATATATATATATATATATATATATATATATATATATATATATATATATATGAATGAGCTCTACATGTACTCTCAAATCGATCTGATTCTTTGTTTTTAGTGAGTGTTATACCCAGTAATGTAAGATAAGACGCAAGATATCAATCTTGATTGATCAGTGATGGTTTAATGGTTATATCATCCGGCTTTTGACTACTGAATCGCATGTTCGAGTGCATTTCCGTTTACTTCAGTTTGAGCATCCAGCTACTATCACAAAGTATTACATACATAAACAGAGTAGCTGAAAGCAGACCACACAAACAATCAATCATGAATAATGTTGAGTCTAACAGAAGTTTGTATTAATCCAAGTTACCATACCATATCAATACAATGAAGTAGGAAGTTAACAAAATGAATAACGAAGTAGTTGAAATAACTGTAGTAGAAGGAATAAAAATTTAAAAAAATTACTTCGAAAGGAATAATGAAAAGGCGTTTATGAAAGGATACTATAATTAAAAACCTAGAGGAAGACAAAGATTGAATTTATATGCTCCACTGTGACTGGTTTTAAGCCACATCACCTAGCGTTGCCAACCATTTGATGTATCCGTCTCATGATATGTGGACAATTCTTCAAAGACACATGAGATCAAAAATTTGCAACCTAAAAATTTCTTGTATCTATATGTACCCCATTTCATAGTCACTGTGTAGTACAGAGTAAACTGCACAGTATACTCAACATTCGGCCGGTAGGAGGATATTTCTCCTATGTATTCATTGACGAAAGCAGGACACAAGCCAGAGGAGTTTTCTATATACGTATCGAAATTTCGTCAGCAACAACTCTCATCAGGTCTGAAAGGACTTCAAAGACAAGTGATGTGGTCAGTGAGCTCAAATATTTCACTTGTTAGCTAAGGAATTAACGTAGGCCATCAGTGAGTGGCATTCGGTCACATATTGGGTGATTGGATCTTAACTATGGCTGAACTGTATGGAAAAACTTGGAATTTAGAGTCATTACAATTCTGAAAAAAGAAACCCTGACATTTTGACTCACTCTGTCATTTTAGTTAGTTAGTTAGGAACAACTGACAGGCAGCTTTATTTAACAAAAAGTATTTACAATCTCCATGGAATTCGAACGATATCTTACATCATCTTATGATAAGTATAGTTTATATATTCAAGCAAATTTGTATTCTTTCCAAAAAAGACATTGTTGTACCTAATAGGTCATGAATTCTAGTCATGTATTTTGAGTCGGAGGTAAAAATGAGTAAGATATTAAACGTGATATTCTAAAACTAAGAGAAGTTATCTCCAAGATAGATAGACAAACAGGTAGTAGGACATGTATATAACTAATGCAATTATACAAAATACAATGGAGTACAGACAACGATACAATTAGACTATTTGTATTACTTATGAATATAGATTCGAATAACCATGGTAATAATAATATAATAACCTTATCTCTATTAGAAATTAATTTACCGTATGTAACAAGAGTATAAGATACTTATCGAAGTGAATTCATGAGTCAGTGTAAGTTAGATCACCACTGAAAATGTGGAAGCACTGGAAGGATGTCTCGTTCTAGTATGGGACAACTCAGCAATGTGCCTCCACAATTCTGTACACGGGACTCGAACAATAGTAAATTGCCTAACTATACAAGAAATAATGTAATTTAGAATATGTACATGTTATGTATATTAAATGCAACATCTTTATCAATAATGATAATAATTAGAAACTAAATTTAATTTATTTTTATACAAACTATTCAAATAATCAATTTAATAGAAGTGTAAAAACTTACCAGTTGTAGTCTCTAACCAAACAATTCCATTTAAACAAATTGTAGTGCCCGGTTCACATGGTCCTAATAAATCTGGTTCAGTTAATGTAGCCTTAGAATTATCTAGTAGAGTATTGACACCGGTACATCGTCGTTCCGGTAGAATTGTTGGAAACGTTGTGTTGGTATTAGTAGTAGTAGTAGTCGACGACGACGTCGTATACAGTTGACTAGATGGGACTAATGATGTTGTTGCTAATGAGGATGACAATGCAGAGGAGGCGAGAGAAAGGGAGGTGGTGGTAGGTAACAATATTGAGGTAGTAGTTGATGACATCATCAATGGAGATTTTACTGAAGATTGTATTAATGATGATGATGAAGAGGGCAAACTATTCGATGTTAGCTGTGATGAAACCACTGTTGTTGGTGTTGTTGTCATTGTGATCGTCATTGCTAATGGGGGTGGTGGGGATGGTGGTTGGGAAGAGGAGAAAGAGGAAGAAGCGGGGGAATGTGAAATAATCCATGTTTCTGATGGGTGAGTTTTTTCGAAATTATTCAACATTGTATTCGATGTAAAAGATGAAGGATTGTGCATACTACTTAATGTTTGATTATTATCATTAGTAGTGTCAATATTGCGACAGATTTTAATAGATGTATTATCATTTTTATTCTTATCAACGGAGTTAGTGACATTAGGTGTAGTATCACATAATGAAGGGTCACTAGCTGGTATGGTAGACGGAGTTTCGGCTCTGGTGTCAGTCAACTTTGACTGTGTAGGGAATGACATTAATGGATCTGACGTAACTGATATATTTGCACTGATCTCACTAGTTGTATAATAATTATGAGGGGATGATGATGTAGACGAATTTACTTTCATGTTATCAGTAGTACTAACAGGAGTAGCATCTACAATATCTGATTTACGGCGTGTAATTCCACTTCCAATACTACTTACGTTAATGTTATTATTATTAGTAGTAATAGTATTGTTGTTACTATTCGAACTGGAGAAATCAGTGAATACAGACAATGGATGTGTACAGGATTGAGCAAGTGGTGAAGAATTGGGACCAGGACTTGAATGATTAAAGGAATTATCATTACGATTAGTATTGTTGATTGTAGTAGTATGTAACATTGGACTACTTCTAGCTGAATCAGTAGTCAGTGCGCTACATCGTTCATCATTCTTTAGGAGAAAAACACAAAGAATGATTAATAATGATAATAATGATAATAATAATAATAATAATAATAATAATAATAATAATAATAATAATAATAATAATAATAATAATAATAATAATAGAACAGCATATAGTCAAGCGTAACAAAATTCACTCTTAGATAGAGTATGGATTATCATTAATTTTTAAATCCCTAAGCTTGTTTTGTAAATTGACTGGTTTATCTTCATTGAATAATCATGGTAATTTACACAATTGTAACCAATTGGCTCATACACATACACATACATGAAAACACACTACTCCTTGGATGTAACATCCTTATGCCCCCAAATGCCCTGGTATGGCCGAGAGTGGGGAGAGTCTGCTCTCCCTCTCCAAATGCTCTCACATGGCCACGCGTATACAGCCTCTGTCAGGGAAGTCCTACTCACTGACTTCTCGTGCCACGAGTGTTGGTTACGAGAATGAGAGGACGAAAAGCGAATGTCCGGCGATTTAACCGGATTCCAAACCAATGGTGTATATGGGCTCTAGGATCCTGAGGGAACAAATGGCGTATGAAGCAATTGTTGGTCACCGGCTACCATAGGACTGCATCTCCTCCTCACGATGCTCCACTGCCTTGTGGACCAGACCTTCAGGTCGAATGCTCGGGGTGTGGCCCCTCAAAGATAACCACCTGCTTCTGTCTGGACACCCGGGCAGTATCACGGCTCTCACACAAATCGAATGACTTATGTGGCGCATATCTATTTGGTAACTCCTTGTACCAATGTTTGTGCTTAAATAAATAAATAAATAAAATAACATCCTCATAAAATGAATGCAAACTTATTTATATCTGAACATTGTAACACATAAGCATTGATAAGGTTGTTCAATGTTTATGTGCTTCTAGCCGTACTGTATATATTCACTCTAGTGATATAGTCTACCTAGTCAAATTGTAAAGTTAGATAGATAAGATTTTAGAATTTACAATTGTCTGATCAAGAACCAAATCCATTAAACACTACGGCATTAATATACTTTCTTATTGTATTTATAACTTACTCTATAATTGGTTGCATTAATCGTTTTGAAATGAGCTTAACAATTAGGAAATTCATTGATTACTTCTGTGAAATTCACTTTAATCTAACTGTTAATTATTTTGAACATTACTCAGAAGGAACTGTCACAACTGAATATTGTTATCAAATTACGATTACATTATTATTTATAGGAACACATTATTTTGCTAATCTTTGAGAGGTTCTTGTTTATACAATTCCCCCCATACTAGGACGAAACGGCCGTCCAGTGCTTCCAGGTTTTCCATGGTGGTCTAGGTTTAACTGACTCATGATTCCAATCAATAAAATAGGTGGAATAGGGTACGAATTCACAAACCAATAATTCACAAGATTAAAAAAAGGTTACGTAAGCGCTATTATTGTTACTGCTTTACTTTAAAATAAATAAGTATCAGATATGAATATCAGTCAATCAGATAAATTGTGATTAACCTTAAGATAGATCGAATAGTGAAACATTGAAATTAATTAAAATTGAAATAAGGATTAAATAAATGAGGTTAACTTTTTATTTCTCATTCAGCATAATTACAGAAGGGGAGAATTTATTATTTTGTAAAAATACCCAATCTACTTTCATTGCGAACCCCCCCTCAAACACACAAACACACTTTTATACAAAGAATTCTAAACATATGTATCTATCTATCTATATATATATATATATATATATATATATATATATATATATGTGTTTTAATGTGACAGTGAACATTTGAATGGTTACTGACAGTAGAGTTCAAGATGTGTTCATTTCGTTCTGTTTGGGACTAACCAAATGAATGTAACTTGGATATTTTAATGTTGATAATTACAAAGAAACTGAAACTTTTAGTCTATCACTTTGAACACCAACGTGTTATTCACTAAGTTACTGATTAGATACATAATCACTAATTTGTTCAACAGGTAAATGAATCTTTTAATAAGCGTTTGTAATTTCACCTTCCCCACCCCCTGTTGATATATCCAAGGCTGAAATTGATCAGTTCTTAAAATATCAACTTTGGGACATTAGTAACCCACAGGTATACAAAATATTATTGTTTATTGTCATTTAATTTTTGTCAGTCAGTCAGTCAGTTATAGCGTAGGACCAGGCACATATATGCAACTTGCCATACCACATTAACACAGCAAGATGAACACCGAATTCATAGAAGCAGTTATTCCAGTGGTGGTAATATGTAAAAGAAAGACTGCATATGAGGATATAGCACAGGAAGAAAGAATCAGTTCACAGAAAGAAAGATATGAAGCGATTTTAATCTCTTAGTTTAGGGAAAGACAGAGAGTGGATACACCAACGCCATTGTGATCGATTCTGAGCCATGTCACCCAGAGTCTCCAACCATTGGTTACGATAGTCACGCGGACCCCAAACAAGTAGTCTGCATCTACCAACATGGCTCAGACTAGAAGTTAGTGACTTCAAGCACTGATTTTTGTATCCTTCTTTGTTATCATCGAGAGTATGAATTAGATAAATAATGAAAATAAATTAATTGATTTCAGGATTTCCATAGCTATTCCTATTTATAACGTAACAGAGGTACTGCCATTAACAATCGGCAAACCCACTCATATTATACACACATAAATATTGTAAATTACTACATTTTCAGGTGTTCTTCTAATGTGAACGTGTTCTATGACGGACTTGATAGAACAGCAAATGTCTAATATGAGATGAAGAAGGCATAACTTTCAGAATAGTTTTATATTCCTAATAGAATTCGAAGATTGAAATAGAACAACTGTTTATTTAACAGTATTCAGTAACCTTGGGGTACATAATGAATTTAATAAGCAAAAGAAAAGAGCAACGGCCAATCAGATAACGGCAAAAATCATTTCAAGGATGTGTATTAGGTCTTGGGTTCGAATCCCATGTGCGGGATCGTAGATGCACACTGCTGAGGAGTCCCATACTAAAACGAAGCGGTCATCCACCGCTTCCAGGTTTTCAATAAAACAAATTTTTCCGTGTTTGACTTAAATGTGGCTTTTAAACAGAAAAGATATTTGGTACATCATCATCGTCAAAGGTCAGCCGCGATAATTGTAGTTCCATCACGATCAGTTTGTCTACATATTGTCTAACTCCAAACAATTCACGACAATGAGCGACATATCGATCATTGTCTTCAGTGCATTACTATCTCAAAACAGATCCAGTACTTTCAGACTTTCCATGGTGGTCTAGCTTCAATTAACTGATGATCTCAACTATTTAAAAAATATTATATATTTCCTGCGAGACAATTGTGTTTGAACTTTTCAAATGTATCACTCTGAGTTTTTGTCTATCATACATCGTTCTCATCACTTTTATTGTCCTCATCTAATAAAATAGTCTCATAGCAATCAATTTATGGTATGTATATAACAAACAATTTTAGACTTAACCTCTCTCCTATTACCTATTAGATTCTGTCAGGTTGACTTTAATTTAGACACGTCAATTTTATTCTCTCATACCCTCCCCCAAACTTCTCTCTGTCTCCTTTCATTGGGATTTTCCGCTCATCAAAAGAAATTAAAATATTTATAATTCATTAGTCTTTACTCAAGTGGGAGGGGGGGGCGGATTAATACTTGATGTTGTCAATGATAATATCATGTTTAAGTGGCAGCTAATTTACAATGAATTTAAAAAGTATTTCTAACTGGAAAATTAAATGTTTATTCTGTTATAATAGAGATCTGTTAGTGAAATAGGATTGTAGAAGAAGAATAACAATGAAGTATACTTATAAAATACTCCAATTATTAACTGACACATAACAAGTCAATGAGTCACAATAACATTATATATCCAAAAGAAATTATTTCAGATATTATTAAAGAGGCTAGATCCCGAAAACAGTATGCGAAACGGAACATTTTTTTACAAATTAAATTCCAGAAAGTTTTCACTTGTTAGTTTTTCGGTTGTTTTTGTTGTTGTTAAGGTGAACGTTGTTCATTTGTATTTTCGTTGGTTGTTATTCTGTCCCTATGGGTCACTTGGCACAAGTCCATGAAGTCATTGACAAGTAGACTGAGTCATGTTGGTAGGTGTAGACTACCTGGTTGGGGACCGTGAGATGATAGTAACCGATGGTTAGAGACGTTGAATGACATGGCTCAAAATCGTTTGCAATGGCGCAGGTGCATCCACTCTTTGTGTTCTCCCCAATTCTAATCTCCTGGATCCTCCTTGAATAACATCTTCAAACCCTAATCTTTCCGATTACTGCTTATACTCCGATCGCCTCTATCACTACGAGATTTGAATCGACAACTGCATCTCTGTGCTAATGTGGTGTGGCAACTCGAACTGATGTACGTACGTACGAAGTTCTATGTTGTTACTGACTGACTGACCTATGGGTGTAAATATATTTATTTGTGAGACCTCTATAGTAGGTAATATTCCATATCATTAACTACATAAATCATCTCTAGAAACAGACTTTGGTTGGTCTCTAGTTAATGGAGATAACAGAAGAGGATAGGAAGCAGTCTCATTCATTGTCATATGAAGTCGAAGTAAGAGATTGTCAAATTATTGTATAAACGTATTGAATGTATAAAATGCTAAACGAATCTAACTACTTAATTAGTAATGGTATACATTGAACACAATTAAACTTCAGTGAAAATATTAAAATCAGTATCGATCATCAATCCCATAAGGAACATGATTCCTATCAAGGTTATAATTCAGGACTTTCTGATGAATACCAGTAAAAATGAAGTCAAAAAATCAAGGCTTGCTGTTGACCGTAAGTCAAATACGTAAAAATATCATTATAGAGTTGTTGAAATCATTACGTTTTTAATTGAGATCATGAACTGATTGATGTTAGACCACTATTAAAAACCTGTTTCGGGTAGAGACAGGTATCTACCTTAGTACAATGGAAGATGGTCGCGCA